TCAAGGCCTCTACCTATAAATCCACCTCAAGTCCTTTACCTAGAGTCAGGGTTCTTTTGAACCCATCAACAACCCAATGATTAACTAGATAGAGCTAACTAACTACTGTAAGTTGAGAGGAAAAGATGAGAGCTTTGGTGTATTACCTTACTTCCAAGAGATGAAGACCAAACCACTAGTATATAAGCTCTAAATCACCAAGGTTCCTTCCTCCTTCAAGACTCCCTTCAAGCTTGAGTAATGAACCAAGAAAAGGAGCAAGTTTGGAGTGTTTTCTTGGCGCAAAAATAGAAGAAAGTTAGCTGAAATTTTGGTTGAGAAAGGGAGGAGGAAGAGCTGGCCAAGAAGAGAAGGAGAAGAGAGGTTTTGTGTGGTAGTTGGTGAAGTGATGGAGTGAAAGGAAGAAATGACATAAAGGTGCTTTGGTACCCAAAAGTCAACAAATGAATAGGAGGCCATTAGTGCTCCTAATTGAGCTTAATTTAACTCACTCACCTCTAATTTCTCAATTAACTTTTCTTAGTCTATTCTTGATCACCCTTAATTCTCCAAGACCACTGCACTCTCGGATCGAATTTTGTCTCAAAAAACGTGTGTTCACTAATTCTCACTAAACGAGCCGCAAAAAAAAATTAAATTTCTAGCAAATGTTTTAAAGTATAAAATAAGACATTGTTCCATGCAAATGAAATTAAAATGGATGAAATAAATTAATTGGAGTAAACGAATAAATAAATAATTAAATAAGTCGGTAAAATAAAATAAAATAAAAGTAAGTAAAATAAAATTTGGGTCCTCACAAAAACTTACAGAAAGTTCAACAGATCCCAACGGGCTAAAAACATAAACATAGTAATCTTATTCCACCTTCTCCACAAAATCCTCAACAAGTTCCAACAGGTTAAATAGCTTTTCTTCACAAAAAAAAATCCAACTAAGCTCTAACGGGAATTTTTTCTCCACTCTCTATAGCCCTAAATCAATATCCTATAATTGATATTGATAGTCCGTTATCATCATCATTGCCACAAAATCTAGAATCCAAAACTAGAATACCAATTTGTTAAGTTTGATCTTAGAAAATTAATGACAGGTTTCTTAGCAACCCCGAACGACAAATAACAAAGTAAAAATAAATAAAATAGAGACCCTCAAATTTAAGTGCTTCAGTATAATTGACCATCCACAAGTGAAGGATAGCAAATTTATTATAATAAAAAAAGGCACAAAAAGAGAGGACAAAACCTTAGAAAAAAGTTCCTAGACGTAAAAGCATGTAACATAGAAAACACAAGAGAACTCAAAGTAACACAAAACACTCAATGCCTCAAAGGCCCAAATAGTTCACTAACTAGTTCTCTTGGTTTGATGCTTAACTCAAAAACCTCTCTTAAGTTGGGGCCTAGTCGCCTGAAACCTCTTTTGAACTCGTGCCTACAGCATATTATACTCACATAAGTCCGCATTATTTATAGCCATTAAGAGGAGATATTGCTTTATAAAATTCTTACTGTGGGATACAGAACAAACTTAACAATAATTGCCAGAAATGTTATTGAACTATTTGGATTGTATACTTCTAACCACTCAACTATTTTTTGTTTCAAAATAGCCATCTAGTCACAAATCGACATACTAGTAGTCGTCCTATACAATTTTGATCAACTTTAATGGTATGAGTTGCACGTGCACTGCACTCACTCAAATAGAGGTTACGAACATATTAAGCAATGACCAAACTATAAAAATATTAGACTTTTAGCAACTAAATTATTTTTTTTTAAATATGTCCCCTCAACTCACAAAATTGGTATATTAGTGGTCATTTTGTCAAATCTTGTCCTTAAATTTACTTGTTTCCGTTCGGATTCAATGTTGTTGGAATTAATTACAAGAACTGCATTCTATAAGTTACATACATACATATATATATATATATATATATATATATATATATATATATATAAACAAATTGTTCTTGATTATTATATATTTTGCCAAAACATATAAATTATATGTGAAAGCTATTCTTTCCTTGATTCTAAATTTTTATTTTGTTTATTAATCTAGAAACAATAACTTAAATCATTGATCTTTTAAGATCGATTTCTAGAATTAGGTGAAACAATTAAAGGAGAACATCCTTAAAGAAGATAGAGCAGAAAAAATTGGAATCCACTATGATAGAAAGAGAAAGAGAAGGGAAATAAAAAGAAAAATGCAAAGGAGAAAAAATATGTATCAATAATATACAAATTTTTCTTGAGTTGCCGTAAATAGCCCTAAAATCATGGGCAAAGCGAACGTCTAACGAGAAAAACCAATGGAATTGCCACCAGTGTAGAACTTTGGTTAGTTGAGTGGGTGATTAGAAATGAAAAATGGTTTGCTGACAAAAAATGTTGATTTTAATAGCTTAATGGCGAATAAAATTTTTTGCTATATGGAGATTGAAATTGCCCTTGTCTTTTGGCCTTGAGACACGTCAGAAGCTCACTCAATTAGAGTTAACAGCAAAACTGGACAAAATGACCACTAGTATATCGATTTTGTGAGTTGGATAACTATATTAGGAAAAAATAATTGAGTAACCAAAACTATTTACTTGGAATAATTTAGTAGCGATAGGTCATTTGCCTTTGCTTTATTACTGTTAGAATTTTACATTTTCTTTCGAGTTGTCATCTTAATAAATTTATGATGCTGATCGCACCATTAACAAATATATATGCAAAAGCCAATAATAAGTTTCAACCAACAATAAGAAGTTCTATTAGTTTCTAAATAATAGTTGTAACTAAAATGTTTTTACACTAGGCAATAATTATACATGTCCTTTATAAAGCCCAACAAAAAAATAATAAAAATCTTATGGGTTAATTTCACTTTGCCTTCTTCAATTATAGCTGAATTTCACTTTGGTTCCTAAACTGACAATTTAGTCGCTAAACTTTAAAGCCTGTCTCATTTCAACACCAAAAATATAAAATCTGTCCCACTTTAGTCCATAAAATATAAAATCTCTCTCATTTTAGTCTCTAAACTATAAATATTTGTCCATTTAAAAATAAAATTTGTTCTACTTCCGTCAATGATTTTATTTAAGTGCGACAAATTTTATATTTGAGGGACTAAATTATTTTGAAATTTAGGGATCAAATTGATATCTAAATATAGCTGTAAGGTACAAAATATAATTAACCATATCTTATGTACTTTGTTGCACAGACATATTTTTGTAAACGTTCGTGTGTAAAGTGGATATCTTCGATGGGCTGCCACCGATTGTGGCAACACGATCTTGAATGTGCGATTTCTGTACTCATATTAAATCATATGGCTCCTTTACCGTTTTGGGCTACCCATAATTGTAGCTATAAATACCAGAAGCGTTTCTCTTTTACCATGTGAATCAGAAAAAAGAGCAGCTCAGGTACCTTCCGTTAACAACCATTCCGTCACTATTAACCGTAACTAAAATGGGATTCGTGGGCGTTTCTATGCTTTTAATAGATGAAGAGAAGTGCTATTAAACGAGTGGTGCTTTTGAATTGAGTCAAATACCAAATGCTCAAATTCTATTAGGCTGCATTGGGATTGAAAGATTTGATAAAGAATTTGATATTCTCTAAAATTCCTCTAGTTGTTTAGATTTCTTAAGAGATATTTGAGTTTGTATATCCTCAATTATTATAGTATTTAAAATTTATTTGGATAATTGGTGAATTACAAACCTAAATAACTCTTAAATAATATAAAGAAAACCAAAGCAATTTGGGTGAATTTTAAATCTTTCGTGAAATTTTTCAATCCAAACGAAACCTTAGTTTATCATAGAGACAAGATTTGAAGCCATTCTTTCATCGAAGGAATCTAAATTGTTTCTCAATTTCAATAGTTTAATAGAGGTATTCACGTTCATATTCAAGTTTGCCTCTTTAAACTTTCGAGTGTAGCTTGAGCTCAAAGATGACTTCAAATTCTTTAATTTTGTTGTTAATATATGATTATCCATAGGCAACTGTGCTAATTTTGTGGTAGAAAATCAATGGTACTATATGCACATAATTGAATCAATGACATTTTAATATCTTAGCTATCAATAATATGCCACAACTTGTTTATCGGCATCTCTTCCAATAAAAGACCAAAAATGTCCGGGATGCGCTTTTTGGAATTTTGTTGGAGGGTGGGTGAGGAGTATTATCTTTTATTTTAGGAAGTGGGTGGTGATGAGTGTTTTTACTATCTTCCCCATGGAATCTTTTCAAATAGAAGTCAGAGAGCCGGCGGCGGAGATTGAATTTTGTCCGGACTTATGAATTACTAGCAAGCAGAGAAAGGACAAACTAGTGCGAGGATCCTGTGTGCTACTACCTAATACCAAATTTAATGTTAACCTCACTTATCACGCTAGGATAAAAGAAATTTAAATAAAAAGCACATTATAAGTTGAATAAATAGAACACTTAGTATAAATATAGAAATGACACTAAGTTATCACTGAAAAAGTGGCATTGAGAATTTTATGTGTGCTATTGATATCGTCTTGATCCAATATTCTTTTTGCCTCGTCCCTATTGGTAATAATTGTAATGGTTTGGCTATCCTCGACAAACACTCGTTAAGAGGGATTATAGTTTTTGAAAAAGTGTAATTAATTGAAGAAAGCGTTTAATATAGGATTCCATTAATAGTGACCATGTATATTAATAAGATAATATAAATGTAATTTAAGTGTGTTATTAAATGCCTTAGTGCAGCATGCTAGATCTGCCAATCAATTTGACTTTTTTGGAAACTCTCTTCCAAACTTTATTAAGCAAAAAATGCTGGACGATTTTCAACAACTGCAATAATAACCGTTACCGTTTTGTTTGTCCAAAAAAAATAAAACTGTGTTATTGCATACCGGTTAAAATAAATCCTGATGTGATCCCTCTCTTCATCTCTCACTATAAATAGTATTAAACAGTTTGTATCTTGTTGCTGTCTTTATCACTACGCTAGTGTATTATATTGCACGGTAAAAGGAGTCCTGTTTGGACCATACTTCTTATCCATATGTTTGTAGTCACGAAGGTGCCGACCACACCAATCTTTGTGGTAAAACTTCTGTGCGGCCGCTGCCTGCCGACGGCACCTATAATATACTCCATCATCACTTGGTCTGTTCTCAAATGATTTCTCATATTCGATTTTAGTGTTTGATTTTAGGAACATTTTTTTTCGTCCATTCTTGATTGCTTTTTTGTGATTTGCACGGACACAAGAGGTGCCGGCCAAGCACCCCTGCTCTCACTGTATACGTTCTGCACAAATACTACAGCTATTACGTACTGTCATCAAATTGTCTGTTCTCGAATGATTCTAAATACTTGATTTCAATTAATTATTAATTTAAAAAATCTCTTGTTCTTTGGTTATTTATTAGAGACGAAAAGCTGAGAATCAGAAGCAGGAGTTTTTAGCCCACTACTACCAGTTTTTAGGGAAGGTCAGTAAACGACTACTAGTTTACTACAACTTCAAGAGGAAAGATGTTTGGAACATTATCTGATGAGCTTGAGGTCAAGGCGCCCGCAAGCGAAGCTTGGAAAGTTTATGGGACGCTGCTACTGGCGGATGTGGTTCGCCAACAACTTCCTGATGTGCTAGACAAGATCGACGTACTAGAGGGCGATGGTGGTCCGGGGACCAAACTGAAGCTCACTTTCCCACCGGATAACCAGCTGATGTCCTACTCCAAAGAGCAGTTTGTGGTGGTGGATGACCAGAAAATGATGAAAGTAGCAGAGGTTTTTGAAGGTGGATATCTCAACCTGGGGTTTACGCTCTATCGAGTTACTTTCCAAGTACTTCCAAATCTAAATGATGAATCTTCATGCACCACCAAGTGCATTCTTGACTATGAGCTCAAGGAAGATGCTGCTGAAAATGCTTCTCTTATCAATATTCAGCCCTTCACTGCCATCATGAAAGCTGCTGCCAATTATCTTGAGACAGGCAATGCCACACCCACTACAACAACCAACAATTGATCGCTCATGACTAGATATACTGCTTGTCTATTTTTCCTTTCTTCATTGGTTTCTCCATAATAATCCTTTTTTTTTGCTTGGGTAGTTTTTCCTTTTCCTCTACACTTCTTTTTCTTCTTTCTGGGGGGCTTCCTTTTCTGTTCTGTAGTCCTTTCCTGGATTGGGTCTAGGAAGGATGTTGAATAACAAACGAATGCTTGTGCTTGTGTATTTATATTGTGTGTTAAACAAATTCATATAAAGCGAAAACAATTTTACCGCTATTTATCTCCACAATTCGAGAATTCCAACTCTAATGCTTTCTCTGAAATTTCCAAACCAAAATTTGCTGATCACCTATAAAAATATGTGGCTAAGGGAGTGGCTGGAAACGATCTTAGGGTTGTGGTACGGAGAGTCCAATCCTTTCTCAATCTGGAAAGTTTCCTTTTTTTTGGGGTAATGCATGTAGGTCAATAGGAGTATCTTTTAACCCCAAAAAAAAAAAGAAAAAAATGGGGTCGTTCTACGCATACATACAGGTAAGTTGTTCATTTTCCTTGGGGTTTCTCTTATGTGCTTATATCTTGTATTGCAAATTTATTTGTGGACTTGGGTTTTGTCCTGGAATGTATCTATGATTGACAACATCTAATGAAATATTACAAAAATTGGGTTTGGCGCAATAGGCAAATGAAGGCCTTTTCATAATTTAAGAAATCCAACTAGGTGCTCTTAAAGAAGGGAAAAGCAACTTTCATCCTATATTGGAAATATAAACCTGGAAATCGTCAATTCATTTCCACCTACCGTGAATAAAAAAGAAAACTTGTCAATAGGCATAGATCGTTTATCTTTTATAATTGTTCATCATCTTATGTTGCATGTAAATTGCAGTGTGAATAGTGGCATTTTGGATAAAAAAGGGGTCCATTTATTATTATTATTATTATTATAAGTTAAAACATGACGACAAAATTCACATGCTTAGTTTGTCATAATGTAATCACCAGGCTTCATCTTTGCTGGATGAAAATTCAGAAAAAATTTGTAAGATTTCATAGGTAAAATTAGTGAAACCGGAGAGGTCTTCCACATCCTAAATGTGTGAAATCAAGCAAAACTTAGGCAAAGACTACAAATTTATGAATGCCACCTTCACTAGCTATCAAAGAAAAAGAAAAAATCACCTAGGAAATTAAAATTCACGTGCTCTGCACGTGCATGGAATATGAATAGTTAGAATCTTATATTTTGAACTTATTCTATTATGTTGCATAAACGTACATGAAGATACATATCATTCCGATACTTCGTAATTGGAATTTCTAGTATCTTAGAGTTTTTAGATGTGAATATTTAATAATAAACGTGACATAGGTCAACTGTACAGCTTCTTTACACCATATAGTTGAGAAAATAGGATAATTTAACTGTTTAAGGCTTAAAAAAATTGAGCTACGACATTTTGTATACAGGAAAAAACAAAAGATTGAATAATGAAAACTAAATTAGTTTAAAAGAGAAAAAGTTCTTATAATGATCAATCTCTCATGTACCGCATAGCCCAAAGTAAAGCTAGCTTGTACTTTTTGAACAAACCTTTGCCTCATTGACTCCCTATTAGTCATCCTGTACTAGAATATCCATCAACACTACAACAAAAATGATCTTTAACAGCATTTAAAGGTGTCAATATAGATAATCTAAATTGACACTTTACCTTTCCTCACACCTGAGATGAGTGTCGTCCCTTCCAATGTGAGGATAGGCTCGAAGCATCAAAGGTGTCAAGAAAATGATGCTATTATAGCATCCCATCTGCCAACAAAAAACCCCTTTTCTTGACAATCATAAGTGTTTGAATATTGTCAAAGTTGCTGAGCTATGCTGACACTTTTAACTGTCAGGAATTTTCTTTTTTTTTTTTTTAAATAAAGAAGCAACCTGATTGTGCTTCCTGCCATACATTCCGTCAATCAGATACCCAAAGGACTTGTAAAATTATCCCAAAGAACAGAACGCATGTAGTAATTTAAAAGCAAAAGCTAATGCTCAAATATCATTTATTGAACTAAAAGTCAGCAACAAGTACTAACATAGCTAATCGAAACCGAGTTACAGAGATTGGCACATAAACTGGGTTACAGAGATTGGCACATAACAAGTACTATTATAGCATCCATAAACTGGGTTACAGAGATTGGCACATAACTTTGAGGAATGACATGACCAGCTGTTGCAATTGGTGAACAATCAAGTATTGCATTGCCTTGTGGCATGAGCCTAAAGACGAGGGATGTCCTGCAGGGCAAAGTGCACTGATCAGTTGAAAAATTTCTTCAACCTATGACAGTCTTGGGCAACTATCAAATTACACTTAAGTACCAATATCTACCTTCCGCCACTAGAAGTTCCTGGAGGGATATCCAATGCAGAGCGATGTGAAGCCGCAGGCCTCAGACTAGCTGTAGCATGGCTGAGAGCCTTGCCTGTGAGAAGTAAAAGGTCCCCAGGAACAAAGCCACTATCAGCCAGGTACCAGCGGCCATTGGGGTCACAAACCTGGAAATACTAGGAAAGAACTGGGGAATAATTAATCAAGGAAAACAAAGTGTTGAAGCATTACAATTCCAAAAATGATCTAGTTGAAATGTAGAAAAAATGTATAAGCAGTGAAAAAGGAATCCAGGAAATTAGTACATATTGTTGCAACCTACCTACTGATCATAAAAAAAAAAATCCAAATATAGGTTACAACACCTGAAGTCCAGGAGCATCTGAGGAAATTAGCGTCAACAGCCCCTTCTCTACTTCACCATTTCCACTCAGCTTTCCACCTCCTGTAGATCCTTTTCCATTTAGTGAGTGTGTACTGGAAAAGGTTGCAACAAGCACTGATGAAGAAGCCTCGTTAGCAGGCAATGGGCTATCGTCAAGCAAGTGGTCGAAAACACTGCAAGCAGTGATACATTCTAAATATAGATCAGAAAACACTAAAGTTGACCACTAAAAGCAAGCATATATACTCCAAAAAACATGACTTCTATTTTAAGTTCAAAATAGAAGTCATCTCTAAGAAATCCCCACAAGCAGCTTGATATGATAAAAGGGAATCAATCCAAGAAAACGAACAAGAAATGTAGGTCACTAACTCTCACTCCTCCTTGGCTATTTGCCCCTTTTCACTGACATAGATACCATCAAGGAACTTCCGAATATCTTTGTTCTTCACATGGCATTTTTGTCCACAATAAGAAAAGGTTGTATATTAGCTATCTAGCCAGATGAACTACATTTTAAAGACAAGTGACAAGGAACAAAACTTGTAGATTCAAATGTCATAAATATGGCACAGAGTGACTCTTACTTGGTTTATCAGGACAGTGGATCGGGAAACAAGCTCAATGTCATTGCTATCCAACACCAATTCATCCTTAACCTTCTCAGACCGGATAACAGTGACTTCTTCAAGTATATCCACCTTCCTCACCTGATGCAGAAAACATCACACATTACAAAATGTTCCCTATCAGAAATTTCAAGCAATCTCAACATGCATAATGGGGGCAACCCAATGGAAGCAATTCCATAATACCTCTCATAGTCTAACAATATTGGTCTAGTAGGAAGGTTCAACCATGACCCAGTCATTATTAATTAGCCTCAACAACACTGGTCTACAGATGTTGCAGCAGAAATCCTCGAAGAAAGAAAAAGGCAGAAAAAAAAGAAAAAAAAACCAAAATATAGTATGTTTGGCAAAGGAAAGTAATTACTTCATTTAAAGTCAAACCATAATGCCAATAGCATCTACTACCCATTTCTATGAATTAAAGACGCATATAGTATTACTAGCACTAAAACTATTACCACGGATCTCCAATGACCAGTGAGACAAACAAAATGATTCCAAACGCAGTACAATCACATAACAACCAAACAGGATACTAAAATTGACAATGTAATCAACAGGTAAGCAAACCAGATAAGCAATTACCGAGCAAACCCAAATGAATTATCGAGCAACCTCACACAACCCAACCACGAAATGCCCAAGTTGGGGATCATTCTGGGGTTAGTTGGCTTAATTCTCAAATTGAAGGGTCAAAAGCATCTAACAATAAACCTAGAAATGAACAGACACAAAGCACTAGTAGTCTGGCCCATAAACTCTGCTCAAATACACACTCAAACCAGCGGGAAAGAGGAAGAGCTCCTCCGCACAAGTCTAAGTCCTCTTACAGTATCAAGAAATTCTAATCAAATCAACAAAATTCACATGTGTGAAAATGTAAAAGAAATCAGAAATGACAAATCTAAAGAGATAAGAAAAGACCCAAATATTCATCATGCTAGTAGAATAGTAGATACCTTCTTCTCACCAAGGAAGTTGCGGATCTCAATAGAACGGTTGGAGTTGGTGATGGAGGCGTTGATTGGGAAATGTGCATAGACGAATCTGATCTTGTAGCAGTAGCCCTTGGTAATGCCGGTGATGAGGTTCTCAACGTGGCTGAGGGCAGTTCAAATTGCGACAATGGTCTTGCGGGAGCTGAACCAAGTGTCGACCTTGAGCTTCCTCTTTCCGGTGGCCTCATCGGTGATAAGTTGGAAGTCGAGGTTGAGATGCTTGAAGTTGCGAGTAAGCTTCCTGCGGGGTCCCTCCACCTCGATCTGCTTGGCTTTCATCTTAATCTTAACACCGTCAGGAATATCCATAGTCTCCGATGATAGAATCGTCTTCATCTTGGACAATCGCTTACAGTAATTCCGCCTCCTCTTCTTTTTCGGAGAAGTGCAAAAGATTGGCAGCCAAAAAACCCTTAAAAATCCATAAAGTTGAAAAGGGTGTTTTGGCCCGCCAAAATCAAACGATGCCGTTTTGTGTCTTTCTTTCTTTTTGGTACACCTCACATTTTCTCAAGTGTCATGTTAGGTAGTCTAAAGGCACATTATTATTTTTATATTTGAAAAAATAAAAAAAATTAGAGTATATATTATTGAATTGATAATAAGTGTCATAATAGGAGTGCTATAATGACACAAACCAGCAAGTGTCCTTATAGGCATGTCAGGAAAGGCCATTTTTGTTGTAGTGCAAGTTTTTAGATTTAATTTTGAAGTATAATTTTTAAAAAAGAAAAATTTGCTAGCAAGAGTGGGTTGGATCTAAGAAGTGGGGAAGGCAAATGGGGATTTGAATTCAGAACTTTTAATTTCTGAAACTTCAACCTTAGAATATAATTACTAGTTTTAACATTTTTTGCGAAAAACTTTCATGATGGGTGGT